GCATATTTTTTCCTTACATTTTATTTTCATAATATTGTTTATTTACATTTTTGATAGAGACCAACTTTCAAAAGTTACAAAAGAATATAAATGTAGAAAATGTTTCCTTCTAACCCAGTGTCTCTCCCTAGAAGCAGCACATAGAACCAGTTTTTTAAGGCATCCTATCAAAGATAGTGTGTGCACATATTATGTGTAGTTCTCCTTTTTTTTTTTCACATGAAAGGTGGGTCGTAAACTATGCACAATGTACAACCAGACTTCGTTTTTATTGAGAAGTTGCACAATAAATTTTTTTTTTAAACAAATTGAAGGGAAGACCCTCCACCAGCAAAAAGATTATCACTCGCTTTATTGCGGTACTAGCTTTATTGCAATGGTCTGGACCAAACCTTCAGCATCTCTGAGGTATGCCTATATTGATCTTGCTTTCTTCCCTTAGTGTAGATAGTATTCCTCATTCTTTTTTTGTGGCTACATAGCATTTCATTGATTGGCTAGACCATAATTTATTTACCCAGGCTTCTATCCGTGTTCACTTAGGTTATCTATTATGATATGCTTCAACACTGGGCTGGGGTGAAGCAAGTGAGGTGTCCAGGGAACATAAATAAGTTAAGGAGGCACCCACTCTCAGGGTCGTGCAAATGCCAGGCCAGCGCTTGCACAAACCTGAGAGTGAGGTTCTTAAATTTTCCACTTACTCCCCTTATCATACTCCTAGCCCTGCTCTGCTCTTACAAATTGGCTGCAATAAAAATTGTTATTTGTACTTTTCCCCCACACATTATTGTTGGGAAAAATTCCAGATGTTAAAACATGGGGATCAAGGTGTATGTGGGTTTTTAAATTTGAATAAAGGAAACCTTTTACACTCCAGTCAACACTATAAAAGACTGCCTGTTTCCCCATACCCTGACCAACAAATTGTATTAGCGACACTTTTAGATTGTTGCCAGTGGATGGGTAACACATCAAGAAATACGTGGCCAAGCTAACTGTTTAATAGTCTTGCACCTCAATGTAGAAACTCGTGGAATTGCCTGCAGTGCCCTCTCTCTTCCCCATAGTGGTCACTCTGCATCTGCTCTTGGCTCTGACCAGGAGGTGGTGTATGTATCCGTTTCCCTTCATCGCTGAGGACACCAACTTTGGAGTCAGGCTGGGTTAACCCAGGTGGAACTTGAATCTAGATTTCACAAATAAAAATCCAGGAACACAAATACTGTATACTAATATTAAAATGTCCAGTTATATGGAATTTCAAATGGACATCTTATATTTTATCTGGCAGCCCTACCTGGGTTAAAATCCAGTGAGCATCTTACAAACTCTGTGACCTTGAATGAGGGCGTCACCCGTGCCTTAGTTTCCGCATTTGTGTTATTAATTCTGCATCGGTTCTTATAGGAGTGGGTGAGGCCATCTGTGTGAGGTGCTTCGCTCAGTGCTGAAACACAGTCGGCAGTCTACAATGTGCGCTTTTTGGTACTCTGGCTGCAACTCTGCACTGCCCCGCCTCCCGGTGCCAGAGCCTCTTTCTGACCTCGGCTTCACCCTGCTGTTTCTTTGCCTCTGAAGGCTTGCTTCCTTTTCAGCAGGCCCTAAGTCCCCCTAAGCCTTTTATGTTGGCGGGAGTGTTGCTTTCTCTGGGAAGGCTCTCTCAATTGTGTGGGTCACCCCCACCCTGTGCTTTCACAGGGCCTGATGCTCCTGTCACATACCTTCACATCTTGTGCAATACAACATGGTCATTGCCTTTTCCATGTTTGGTTCCCCTTCTAGACGTTGAGCTCCATGGGAACAAAGATAACTCCCTTCCTTCTACTGGTATGGCCAAGACCTAGCACACAGTAGGACAGCAGGTGTGCTGAATAAATGCCTAGCTGAAGACAAATAATTTCTGTTCTTCTAGCCCTATGATAACTGAGGTGTTGTAGATTTTGCTTCTGGCTTTGAAAGAGCAGTGACTATTTGGAGTTTAATTTTGAAACTTCTATTAATTTTTCATTACGTTTTATATTTAAAATCCTGTATGAGACCGAAGAGTTTGGGAGCATAGCCCCAGGTGCCAGAGTTCTGATTATAAAATGGAATCTTAAAGTAAAAAGAGGCAGTCATTCTAACTAAGACCTTTTCATGCACCTGACCCCCAGCAGCTCTAAACAGAAATGAACTGGTCGTTCCTTCCCCTGAGGGGACTTGCCAGTTCCAAAGGCGAATCTGCTTATAACTGTCCTGGAACTTTGTCCCGGGACGTTGCATGTCTCTTGTCAGCGTCAGCCTTGAGCAATGTCTTCCATGCACATGTAGCACTTCCATGTACCAAGTGCTAGTAGTATTCTGTTAAATTGAGTATCCCATCATCATGCATGTACACATCTTATAATAGCACCAAGGTTGGCTTTAAAGAACATAAACACTAGAGAGATGATCACTTTTGGGGGGAAATAAATTATGGACGACCTTGGCCCACAGTGACAAGTGCAGACAATGACGGCATTTACATATTTTCTCCTCTGTGTTTTCTTACACATATTTACATGGTCTTTTTTCTTTCCTTTCCTAGTATCACTACCCTGTTCTAGTTTTTATTATGCTGAAAACCATAAAATTGCCTCTCTACCAGCCCCTCTGCCTTTGGCCAAAGAATCTTTATGAGGACAGAGTCCTTTTAACATGAACCCTTCTCAGAACACATCAAGGCTCCCACATCTCCACTGCCTCCCTCTCCTGTGAGCAGACATTACTCTCAGAAGGACACCTCACCTTTAACCTGGGCAAGGGTCAACGCTGCTGGGCCACGGTCCAGTCCGAGAACAGCCAGGCCATGGCATGGTGTGTCTGCAGTGGCCAGAAACCCAAACAAGCCTTCCTAAAAAGCTGTAGCTTCTTGTGTGGTGGACCTTGAATGAGCTGATCCAGAAATGCATATGGAAGTTCAGGGGACCCTGCAAAAGGAAGAACAGAGTTGGAGGACTCACACTTTCTAATTTTAAACCTATTAGAAAGCTACAGTAATCAAAACACTGTAGTACTGGCATAAGGATAGACATAGATCAATGGAGTAGAAATGAGAGCCCACAAATAAACTCCCATATTTAAGGTCAGTTGATTTCTGGCCAGGTTGCCAAGACAGTTCAGTGGGGAAAGACAGTCCCTGTAACAAACGGTGCTGGACAACTGGATATCCACATGCAGAGGATGGCTCTGCGTCTTTCTTTTCTTTTTACTAACTTACCTTATTAGGAAGAAATATAAAACATTTCAGTGACATATGGAAATTCTCAACTCTTAGGCAGGGTAGCTAAAAGTAGATGAACACAAAAGTTGGCAGAATTTCTGAATGGATCGATCTGATTACGATGGCAACCTAACCAAATCTTTCAGAAATGGATGCCGATCAACAGGCGAAAGCAAAGAATAATGACAGAGGATATCTGTATCACACCACGAACAAGTGTGACTATGTGGGAATATGAGGAGCTGCATATTCAACAATTGGAGAACGCTCACAGGAGACGTCTACCAGTTCCCGTTTCACCTCTGCCTATGTTATGACCATCTAGGATCTAGATGAATTCCTTCATTTCTGCTTTATGGTCTTTCTTAGCTGTAATTGCTTCATAAAGACTTTCTGCTTTCCTTTAAACTCATGATGGAAATGAACTGTTGGGTGTAATTTTCATCCACTATGGCAAGCTTTTCCAGGTGAGTTTTCATCATCCCCTGGGCAGCTGGGCAGCTCTTACCACCGTTTTTCTTGTGCTGACTTTGCACAATACTAAGCATATTCGTCGGTACTAACATGGCGCGGGAAGCATGGCCTTCCCCCACTTGGCTTTTCTCAGTAACGCTGCATAACATTTGAAACAGACGGGTGCATCTGTCATGTACTTGACAAATTACCTGGCTCCCCAGTTTGAAGGGAAGACTTTGTGTATCTTCGGCTCATAGCTCGCTCCCAGGAACTAAAGCAGACCCTTATGCATAGTCTGCACTCAGTACATATTTGTTGAATAAATTAGCATAGAGGGGCTCAAAAAACAGATGTGGATTTGAATTGGTCATTTTAGAACCCATTTATTAAAGTTTTAATGCATTATTATATCAAGTGTGGAAGCCAGGAATCTGAGGGAGTCAGGTACCCACACACTTTTCAATTCTCAAGCTAAATCTGAGTGGGGAACATCTGGCCCGTGGGCCATTTAGGCTGAGATATCATTTGGTCTGTTCCTGCCAAGGCATTAGGGGCGAGTTAATTAAATGTTTGACCAAATATAGAGGCTAATTTTTCAGTTGATAATTGTGTATGGCCCACGAATGATGTTATAAATTTGCAAATGGCCTTCGGCAGAAAAAAGCTTCCCCACCCGAGTTAAATAATCATCTCCAAACTGAATCTTGTGCCAGGGGGGATACACTTAATATTAAGACATTGAGCACTTGAGCTTTTACACACCACTAATGGAATATAAAATACCTCTTTCTCTGTGTGGGGAGCATTTAGCAAGGCACATATGAAAGGAATCAAGCCATTCAGATTCTAAGAATTTTTCCTATAAAGGTGCTCACACAGTCTGCAAGGCCATGTGTATAGTATGAGAAACTTCAGTTTGGGACTCCCGCAGCTGCACATCACGAACCGCTGAGACGGGGCGGGACAGTTTCAACTACTCATACTTATTTTTCATCTAAAGAAAAGATAGAAACCAAGTTTCACTAACATTTAATAGTACAGTGACTCCACCATCCTTCAGTCGGCACGTTGGGTCAGATGCCACTTAGTCATTGAAATCCAAGGCATCCTGAGGGAAGGACAGTTCAACCCAGGGGGCAGTGGTTTCCAACTCACTTGCTGATTTGCTTTTAGCATAGGCTTACTTTTGCAGTTTCTCTCTGCCCGGTTGAATGCATTTCTAGATTCTTCCCTCTTATTTCATGTGAATAAATGCCAAAACAACCTCAGCCATTTCAGAATGTGACCCTCACTCTTGCAGGGATGCCCTGGCGGAAGGAGCAGACGAAGGACCTGCAGCGGGTGCTCAGGAACGTGGACAGCGACATCCCGCTGGTCCTAGTCAGCGGCAACCACGACGTGGGCAACATCCCCACGCCCGAGACCATCGCGGAGTTCCAGGAGACTTGGGGAGACGACTATTTCAGCTTCTGGGTCGGGGGCGTCCTGTTCCTCGTCCTCAACTCCCAGTTACTGTACGACGCCTCCAGGTGCCCTGCCCTGAAGCAGGCCCAGGACCAGTGGCTGGACCAGCAGCTGAGCGTGGCGGGGCAGCAGAAGTGCCAGCGCGCCATCGTCTTCCAGCACATCCCCCTCTTCCTCCAAAGCATCGACGAGGAGGATGACTACTTCAACCTCACCAAGCCCATGCGGAAGGAGATGGCAGACAAGTTCATCAAAGCAGGTAGCAGCGGGTCCCCAGTGTCTGGGTGGAAGAGTGGTCCGAGGGGGAGGTTTCCAGATCCTTCTGCCCCTCCACAGCCTGGCGAAGGGGTTCTGATTCAGCTCTGTCACTCACTGGCCGTGAGGCCTGGGACAAGGTGCCTCCATTTCCTCATCTGTAAAGTAGGAACAGCAAGAGTAGCTCTCATAGGCTGGTTGTGAGGTTAAATGAGAAGAGGCTGAAAGCATTAGAATAGCCCCTTAGGCAGGGTACTAACGTTGTGGTAGCTGCTCACAGCTGAGGGTGGGGGTCCTGCAGGTAGGGGGCACTGGGGCAGGGTCTGAGTGTGACTACATGTGTTCCTGGAAAGGGAAGATGCCAGGGCACCTTTTCTCTGAGGAGCAGGAACTTGCCCACGGGCAGATGATCTTTAAGAGCCAAGCTTCCCACTCCCTCAGGTATAACCTGGGAAGTCCTGGGTGGGCTGCAGTGGGCAGGCCCTAGGCCTCATTGGCTCTCCTTTGGAGAGGACCACGTCTCCTCCAGAACCAGGAGAGAGAAATGTACATTAAACGTAAGTAGTACATTTACAGTGGTCATGCATTTGACATGTGTGTGCACACTCATAGAGCATGAGAGGCTCCCTTTGTGGCTCTGGTTTCTGGTGGCACTCTGTGCAGCACTAGCTCACACACCTCACTTCTGCCCCTGGGAGCACCTGCAGTATTCCTCTTGTGAACAGCGGTGTGATCTTAGCTGACCCCTGAGGTTTCAGAGACCTGGCAGGATTCCAGTTTTGACAACTGTTGTATCTCTTGTTTTGGTCCTAATGCCTCTGTTTAGATCTTTCCAGAGTGCACTTTTTCAGACTTTTCTAAAATGTAAATGTGTCGGTTAGGGGGTAAGGAGAGGGAGGTGGCCTAACCAAGTAGCAATCATTCATTAGAATTTTTAAAAAACCCTGACACTCTTCTTTTCATCTTTGATCATTAAATGAGTTCGCATTCACTTGTGAAAAGTACAATAGGCCCTTCTGTATTTTTGAGGCATTTTATAAAAAGCTTGCATAATTGGAGGCATTTTCCAACTGTTCCATGGAGATGAAGTTAGAAAACTATTAAGGTCTTTGAAATTTTGTGCCGTGCTTGAGTTGGTGTAGAAAACCGTTTTGATGACAAGGAAATAAAGTGTCAAGATGGCATCAGCAACACCATGGAGACTGTTTTTTAACAAAAAATAATGTCAGAGAGAACATTTTATGCCACTCAAATGATTCCTTTCATATCAAATGTTAAATGATGCAAATGCCATCCACGTGGTTGCTCTTTGTTCTCTGCTGTTGTCAACCACAGTCTTGAGTGGCATGTGCTTTGGGGTTTCCCATCGTAGGATGGAGCACATGCGGCCACTAGCACCCCAGATAGTAAGACCTGTGGATTTTATAGAGAGAGCCCACTGCTCTAACAGGGCATCCTCGGGGGAGCCTGCTGCCCACCTCCAGGATGGCATCAGATCTGGGCTGTGCCGGCCACCTCCGGTCAGGCCTGCAGCCCTGCTCGCCAGGGAGGATTCGTTGGCACACCAGGGCTGGCCTGTCGTGGGGACAGACTCCACTTGCCCTTGCTCCCAGAAGCTAACATCTCCCACCGAATGCCAATGAAATGATTCGTGTAAGACTGAAGCCCTCCCCTCAGCCCTAGCAGCAGTCTCTTCCCGAAGGCTATTATTATCCGGAGGTTGCTTGCTAAGCAGGGGACAGGGCAGGGTGCGGGTTTCTTACTCCACTCAGTGCATCTGGCTCCAGAACCTGACGGACTGTGCCCAGCAGGGCCTCCTTGCCCAGGGAGACTCTGATATGTCATGTGCCTTTTGTTCTGCTTCCTGATATCAACATCCTGTCCACTCTTCTAGGCCACCATGTCTCTCATCCGGGTCGTGGCAACAGCTCTGACCTGGTACCCGGGCCCATTCTTCCCCATTGCAGTCCATCTCTGCCTGGTGCCAGAGGCCTCCTCTTCATCTCTGCCTCTTCCACTTCACCTGGCCAACACCTGCTTTACTCTGACACCTTCAGGATGAGGTTCCCCCAGCCCCCCCTTCTCAGCTTTCCTGAATCCCCCACTGGACTCTCATCTCTCGAACAGAGACACTGTTGTAGTCACCTGCATGCAGGAGGCCTGGCTCAGGGCTCACATAATAAATTCCTCATCAGTATTTGTAGGACCAACGAAGGGCTGAAACTAACACTCCTTCCCTCCCTGACCGACTGACCATAGCCCATGTCCTTGTTTGGCACCGCTGTAGGCCGGTGCAGAGCAGACCAAGTCCTGGTTTCTCAGAGCTCCAGGCCCAGCCTTCCCGGAGGGTGTTCGCCTGTTAGTGCCCATCACAGGGCCTCCAAGCCTTTGGTCTTGTGCATCCTGCTCTGATCCACATGCTGGCTCTCCAGGCTCACAGCAGTTCTTTCTCACTTCACAGCTGGCCTCCCAGTATTCCTGCTGATGGGGAAAATGAGACATTTTGGGGGGGTTAGCAATCTGAATCTAGTCACTGCCCCTTTAATTATCTGGTCCTGCAAGACCTGTTTACCCAAAATACCACTCCCATTTTAGAGAGGCCATAACCCATCCCCAGATGGAGTTATCAGTGCTGGCGCCAGGCCAGGCCTTGAGATGTGGCCCCACTGCCCCCATCCCAGCACATGGGGCTTTTTGCAAAGCCTGTGAAAGGTCCGGAAGTATGGCCCATATTTGGGGGACAAAGAAACCAAAGGGGTATAAAGGGAAAGCTTCCTCCATATTGGGGGGCTCAGGATTTGGAGAGAAACAGACTCCCCTGAGTCACCGTACCGATACATGTGAAATGTCGGGAAATAAATGGGTTTTTCCTGTGCCTCCGGTACTCCTGCGTATTTTTTCGGTCGCCTGGTAAATTCTGTATCACTGCCAGGCACCACTTACACCTGTGAGAAGGCGTCCTCGTGGCTACTGCCCCAGGATCTCCCCTAGACCTGCTCACGGGGAAAACCAGAGAGATGGGTGCTCTAACTGCAGTCCCCCCGTCAATTTTAGTGGCTTAACTAAGCCAGGCCCTTTGCTTAAGGGCCTTTCAAACACAGAACAAACCACGGGCAGCATGGAGAAGAGAGGGGGTCAGATGTGGACGCAGCTCTGGCAGGCCGAGTGACCTGCTTGGTGGGGAAGCTCAGGTAGGTGGGCTCTCCTGGGCATGTCTGCTCTGTGACTCAGTGATGCAGGGGATGGCTCGGTCGCAGCAACGACTTTTGAACTCATTTTGGGAAGCCAGAAGTTCTAGTGACATTTTGTAAAATCAATTAACTTGAAGACCATGATGAAATTGGGGGTGGTGATGGTATTTAATACTGCCTCGGCTTTCCCCCACAGCAGTATTATTCCCTACTCCTGCTGCAGTCTCATTTATCTCCTGCATTAAAATGCCACTACTTAAAAAATATGTCAAAAGCTCATCAGAATATCCAGGTTAGCTTTTAATTATGGTAATTGTGTTGTTATAAAATATCCTTTTAGAGAGCACATCCCTCCTCAAACCACTCTGGAGGTAAAACCCAGCTTCCTCCCAGCAAGCTTAATGAATAATTCTGAATCATTGTGTGGGATGAATAAATGATTTAATAACGAGCATCAACAATCATCTCACATTGTTGAGTTAATCTCTAAATGGATGAGGTAAATGAGGAGGAGGGGTGTTACTACACAACGGGCCACCTTGTGTGGAGGGATGCTGCCTCTGAATCCAAGCCTGCGGGCTTCCCGGCTCAGGTTTCCCTAGAAACGGATGCATTCTCTTTCTCTTTCTGAAGCTCAATAAAAACCTTCTTTGTCTGATAAAAAACGTTGTCAATAGCCAGTACAAATAAAGAGTTATCAGGGCGGGACAGATGCACAGCTGTGAAGCGGCTCCGCTATTTTCTGTCTTCTTTTTGCTCTGCCTAAGGATAATCAATTTCATCACATCCAGAGGATGTCGAAATTGGCTTTCCCCATAATTCACCTGATACCTAGTTGGAGTTGCAAAGATAGATAGTAGATAATGAAATCTTGGTTGAACCTGGCCACCGTCTCCATCCTTCGTGCCTTTTTTAGCAGAAGGTTAATGTGTGAACCAGCTAATACGGATTCCAATTTAAAAATTCAATCTTAAAAAATAAAAGTCTAACTCTTTAACTATTTGCTCAATGTCTCGATACCTTTGCTTTTTTCCACTTTCAGCATAGAGATCAGAACTGTGTAGTAGAGAGCCGAGAGTGAATTTGACAATTATGAAAAAATCTCAATAAGTTGATCTTTCCTGCAAAATTTGATCAGTAATTTCACAAAATTATGGTTTCATCTCTAGTATTTATGTTTAAAACAAAAAAAACTAGAGAGCTTTTAGCCCAATGTTATCGTATTAGAATTCACTTTATGGGAAAAATAAAACATCAAATTGTACTCTAACATCTTAACTACATTGTATTGAAATTATTTTACATCCTGGTTGTTGTTGTTTTCCAGGAAGTGGAATCCCAGCTTAACTTTGTTCACCTTTGTAAGCCCAGCCCCTCGATAGCCAACACTGTCCCATAGTAGCCCCTCAATAAATAAATATTGGTTAATGGAATGGATTTAAACTTGATTCAAACCTATTTATTAGCAGAATCATAGGTAATGCTTATGTTACCTGTGGATTGGTGTTTACCAGCTGACTTTTGGATGGGAAATGCATTACCTAGAGCAGCCGTGGGCAAACTACGGCCTGCCGTTTGAAATGAATAAAACTAAAAAAAAAAAGACCGTACCCTTTTATGTAATGATGTTTACATTGAATTTATATTAGTTCACACAAACACTCCATCCATGCTTTTGTTCCGGCCCTCCGGTCCAGTTTAAGAACCCATTGTGGCCCTCGAGTCAAAAAGTTTGCCCACCCCTGACCTAGAGCAAGGGTTGGTAAACTTTTTCTGCAAAGGGTCAGAAATGTTGGACTAGTCTCTGTAGCAT